GGTCATTGTTCTGTCTTTGGCTGAGAAATTGCCATTGACTTGGCTAACAACCAGCTGGGAGTCACTATTGACAAGTAGCTTCTGTGCTTGCATTTCCCTGGCCAGTCTGAGGCCTGCAAGGAGTGCTTCATACTCTGCAATATTGTTGGTAGCTTTGAACCCAAACCTCATGGCCGATGTGAGTTTGTGACCTTCGGGGCTGATGAGGACAACCCCGGCACCTGAGCCGACATCCCCAGCCGAGCCATCTACGAAGAGGCTCCACGTGGGGGGTTCGACGGGCTCCATGATTTCATCTACCTCGGGTAGGTTGGTGAATTCAGCAACAAAGTCTGCTAACGCTTGCCCTTTGATGACCGCCCTTGCTTTGAACACAAGGTCAAATTCACTTATTTCCACTGCCCATTTCAACAGTCTTCCCGAGGCATCGGGCTTCTGGAGTACTTGCCTCAGGGAAAAATTTGTAAGTACATGGATGGTATGAGTTTGGAAGTAGGGTCTCAATTTCCTTGAGGCCGTGATTAAGGCCAAAGCAAGCTTTTCCATATCGGGGTATCGGGTCTCCGGCGATAGGAGCGCTTTACTCGTATAGTAGACGGGAAGTTGGGTGGGCCCTTCTTCTCAAATCAAAACCGAACTGATGGCGTCATTGGAGACGGCGAGATATAGTTGCAAGATGTCGTCGGGCTTTGGCTTGGAGAGAAGGGGGGCCTGCCCCAAGTGTCTTTTCAGTCCTTGGAAGGCCTCTTCACATTTCTCAGTCCATTGGAATTTCTTCCCAGCCTTGAGCACTTTGAAAGATGGGAGGCACTTGTCAGTTGTTTTGGAGACGAAGCGACTAAGTGCTGCCACTCGTCCAGTTAAGCTTTGCACCTCCTTTGGCTTTTGAGGGGACCTCATCTGGCATAGAGCCTCAATCTTCTCGGGATTTGCTTCAATTCCTCGCTGGTTGACCATGTACCCCAAGAACTTGCCGGAAGCCACCCCAAAGGCACATTTCAAAGAGTTGAGCCTCATCCTGTACCTTCTCAGTATTTGGAAGGTGTCGTTGTGGTGCACTATGTGGTTCTCTGCTTCTAGGCTCTTTACCAGCATGTCATCCACGTAAACTTCCATTGTTTTGCCAATGAAGTCGATAAACATTTTGTTCACGAGTCTTTGGTAAGTTGCTCTGGCGTTCTTTAACCCGAAAGGCATCATTCTATAGCAATAGAGGCCTCGATCCGTGATAAAAGAGGTGTGCTCCTCATCGGCCGGGTGCATGGGGATCTGGTTGTAGCCGGAGTATGCATCCATGAAGCTCAACAACTCGTGCCCAGCCGTGGAATCCACCAATTGGTCAATTCTTGGAAGCGGAAAACTATCTTTCGGGCAAGCTCTATTAAGGTTGGTAAAGTCGATGCATACTCTCCATTTGCCATTGTGTTTCTTAACCAAGACCGGGTTGGAGACCCACTTCGGATAAGTGGCCTCCCTGATGAAACCATTTTGGATGAGCTTCTGAACCTCTTCCTTTAGGGCCTCATACCTCTCTGGATTGAGGGCTCTCCTTTTTTGTCTATGCGGGGCGAAATTAGGATCGATTTTCAAGTGGTGGCAGCTGACCTTGGGGTCTATGCCCACCATGTCCTCATGTCTCCAAGCGAAGATGTCAAGGTTCTTGCCTAGGAAGTCCTTGATCTTTTCTCTCAAAATATCGGATAAGCCCCTGCCTACTTTCAGCACCTTGGACGGATCTCGAGGGTCGGCTGAGAAGCTCTCAAGTTCCTCTATAGGGGATGCTTGAGGCTCATGTTCCATTACGCGGGGGTCGATCTCGTCAATGATCGGCGTCTCCTGAATAAGGGGTGCGTCAATCATATCAATATCTTCCTGGTCAGTGGGAGCGTCACCTGGGACATCCGCCATGACCTCATCAGCCATGATCATGTGGACGTCCCGGGGCTCTACCTTCTTAATGGAGCTCAGATAACACTCTCGTGAACCTCTCTGGTCGCCTCTCACCGTTGCCACCCCATTTTCTGTTGGGAATTTCATGCATAGGTGGTGGATGGAGGTGACCGCTCCCAATTCCTTTAGGGCCGGTCTGCCCAAGACTCCGTGGTAAGCCGATCGACTGTCGACTACGAGAAATTCCATAAAGTTCATTGTAGTTTGAGGAGATTCTCCCATTTCCACTGCCAGTGTTATCTTTCCTCTCGGAGTAATGCTATCTTCGGTAAATCCGTACAATGGAGTGGTGGTGGGCGTCAACTGATGGTCTAATATCATTTTGTCAAAGGCGGACCCAAATAAGATGTTGACGGAGCTGCCGTTGTCGACTAGCATTCATTTGAGCCCATTTCGGGCTATGACAGCCCTCACCACCAGCGCATCGCAGTGGGGGTAATGAACTCCTTCGGCGTCTTCCTGGGTGAAGACAATGGGTGGTGCTTGATTTCTTCGAGAGCTGTTATCCACAATGTAACTTGTCAGAGGGGGTGCTTAGCCTCCCTAGCATAGTTTCTTTTGGCGTTTCGTGTTTCACCGCCAACATAAGGGCCTCCAAATATAGTATCTATCTCGTGGATAGGGGCCTCATCTTGAGCTTGCCTATTTCTTCGTTGTCTACGCTCTTCCCTGGGCCTCTCTGTGTCTTGCTCTCTTCGCCTTGGGGAGACATCCCTTTGACGAGGAGCGATCGCCTCACGCCCATGTCGGTTGTCTTGCCTGGGCGGGGGTCTGTTCGCCTGGGGCGAGTTATGTCTTTCCCTGACGGGTTCCTGCCGGGAGCGGCGTGCATAGTCTCTGCAATCCGCAGTGTCGTGCCCGTAGGACCTATGATGCAAACAGTATCCAGGGAGGTTCGGATTGGGCCTATTTCTAGGTGCAAAACCTCGACCTCGGCCTCTCCCTCTGCGGGGTCCCTGCTGGGCCTGTATCTGATGTGGGTCAGCGGTTGGGTTGACATCCTCATACGCTAAGGTTGGTACCGCGTTCAGAGTTGTGGTGGCTAGGGCTTGGCCGGAGTTCTCATTTTCAGATCGGTTCATCTGGTAGTTCATGAGGTGGGAGGTCGGTCCCCTACCTCGCTGTCTTTGAGGAGGTGGGAGGCCCCTGCTTGCCCTATTTCTATGCTCAATCAATTCTTCATTGATTATCTCCCTTCTCATCATCTCTAGTAGGACGTCATAGGTGGTTGGGTCTTGATTCCGCACATCCCTCCAGAATAAGGTGTTCATGTTCAATCCTCCTCTCAATGTAGATAGTGCTTCCCTGTCGGTGACTTGTACACAGTAGGTCATCTCGTCGGTGAAGCGGGATAGGAAGCTTTTCAAGGACTCGCCATGCGCCTGTCTCATGTCTTGAAGGCGCTGAATGGGGGCCTCTCATTCCTTGCTCACTGCAAACCTTTTCAAGAAGGTAGTTTTGAACTCGGGCCAGCTTCGGATGCTCCCAGATGGTAGCCTGCTATACCAGATTTCAGCCGCTCCACTGAGGGTTAAATGGAATGCTCTGCACTTCACAGCTGGGGTGGCGCCCCTCAGGCTCATGTGAGTTTTGTAAGCTTTGAGGTGCTTTTCTGGGTCACCTCTTCCATCATACTTTGGTATTTTCGGCATGACGTAGTGGCTT